GGCCAAGACGTCTTACATGTTGGCCCTCTGCATGTCATCATCAGATGTGGAAGGTATCTACCGATGATTTGAGTTGCGACGGCAGCATCGGGGCAACGGTTAATGATCCTCCACTTGTAAGAATTCGGGATATCAGATGCGTGCGATATGGCGACCCGGAAAACGACTTGAACGGGGCCGCCCGAGTTCCGGGGGAAAGGGTGCGGTGATTGACCTTGATACGGTGATTGTCGGGTTGCAAAAGTACTCCGCCGACGTAAGAGTGGCATCGTCGATGTTGCCAGCTCATTGCTGGCTTGTTGGTCCACCTCAGTGGAGGTTCGGATCTTGGCTGATAGTTGGTGGATCAGTCTCGGAAGATATGACTGCTGAAGAGACTGTGGGATAAGGAGTCTCATCAATCAGTCGGCGAACAAGCAACTGGTCGAGGTCAGTTCAAATTGCAGTGCAAATGCAGCCCAGCCCAGGATAGGGTGGCTTGTCTTGATGGCTGAGTTGACGGGAGAAGTCCGACGGCAGTTTCTCAAGCAGGCGGAGTTGGATTCGATAGTCGGTCAGCCGTTGCCAAGACATCCGAGTGAGTGAGGGAAAGAGGGAAAGAGCGTTGGTCTCGAAGGATTTGGAAGGAGCGCCATCCCTGTCGCTTTAGCGTCTTCAGCCGACCCACTCATAATTGTGTGAGACCCACTTCCACGAGCTGGGGCGCACAGGCGCCCCGAGCAGTGAACGAACGGCAGGCACAGGACACTTTTGGGGCAGTTGCCGCTTGAGCAGCGGGCACAGATGAGGCGGGAGGGCCTGGACTGGGCATCTTTTTGAAAGCTTCAACTTCACCCGATGGTTGATCAAGGGAGACGTCGACAGCAACAACAGCAACTGACAGACGGCATGATTGAGATTGAGGCGTCTCTATGGCGGAAGCCATGCCATCAAGAAACATCTTTTCCCGTTCATCTCGTCATCAAGGATGAGCCATGCCATGCCATGCATGCCCTTGGGCCATAGTCCTCCACCGCGGGCATCCTCCCAGCTTGACATCTCAAAGTCAATTGGACACGCCGCCGCTCACGTTACACAAGCCAGGAGGTGGCGCCCGCGTCTGGACGCCGTCAGATGGGACTGCGGTCCGAGGATGCCCTCCCAGGTCCAGTGCTGGTTCCGACGTCGTGGGAGTAGCGTTGTAGGGCTAAGGAAGAAACCCTCAATCCCCAAAAGGGTCGCCTTTGACCATTGCAACTGGCCAAAAGTCTACAGACTTTGACTCTGCATACAGAAGTCGGACCTACCAAGCTCGGCAACATCAAGACGAACTTGTATGCCCTCCCACGGGCGCTTCAACGACCTGACATCCCCCCCATCCAGCCAGTCACCACCGCCCATGGAACCTTCGCCGCTGTTATGCATCCCAGCGAATCCTTCAACCGTCTTTCTCCATCATTCAGCCCTGTCGAGATACGTCTGCCGCTCTCAGTGTCAATTTGGCCATGTTGCCCAAACCAATGGACTACGGAACCAGAGGCATCTTTGTAGGTCAGTTCCGTTTTGCTAAGATGAGCTCTGCTGTCTCTTCATTGCAGCCAACAAGGATCAAGGCTTTTACATCCTAGCAACCCAACCTGACAAGGCCAAGGCTTGAGCTCGCCGGCAGCAGCACGCGAAGTTGAGGGAAGACGAGAGACTGGTTCATTGCAACACAACCAGAACCATTCAGACGGCTTGAACTCCCACCCTCGTCAATTCCATGCTTTCTCTCCAGGGCCCATACCCACAGTCCGGGGATAATTTCTGCGCGCCTTCTTCCACCCAACAGTCCCCATAGAGCTTCCAACCCCTGTTGCTCTGCGGCTCTGGACCCCTTTATGGCGCCGACCCTCCGATGCTGCCCTGGGATTCTGCCGGTTCTTCTTTCGCGCCATCTGCTGTGCAAAGAGCAGAACTATTTCCCCCCAAGACCCATCAAGTCTACCGGCATTGGAGAGAAGCAGGAATTGGCCTGGATTTCTCGCAGTCAATCCCCGCTTGCTTCTCCCATCTCAAAGATCTTCCATCCTCGCTTCCACTTTCGATCTCCCAGAGTTCATCCCAAAACCAGCAAAAAGCTGCTGCCTGCCAACAAGTGGACGTGATTATCCCGACATCGCCTCCAGACATACCACGGCGTCGGTTCCGAACCGCACCTAGTGGCACGGCTCCGCAGCCATCGGCGCGCTTCGAGACCCCAAGTCGCATACAGGACTAGACTCCTGTGTGCAGACCGTCTTGTCCTAGCTCCTCGACTACCCCGTCTCGCGTATCGGGTCCCGTCTGTTGTGTTGCACTTCTCTGGTCCCTGACCCCGCGATCCTCCACGGTCGCCGCCTGCCATGGCGGCCACCGCGACATCGTCCTCGTCGTCGACGGCAACGAGTACCTATAGCAGTGTTGTCGTCACCAGCTTCCCCTTCAATCCTTTGACTACCCAATTCGTGGCGCCGACGTACTGTAGTGGCATTTACAATGGAGCCGTCTACATGGTTGACCCCCAAGAAAATTGTCTGCCCACGAGCCATTCGAAAGACGAGACAGCATACTACTCACCTGGATATGTCTGTCCTGAAGGGTATATGACGGCCAGAGTCGACAACAAGGGCGTTCACAGCATCACGACAGTGACTTGCTGTCCTTATCGCAGCGATATCATCCTCTCGGCGGTCGACCCTGCCACGCTCTCTGGCCAGTGGATTGGGCTCTTCTGCACATGGATCGCTCCGGAGGGCACGCGCATCGACATCGTGCACACCGCCGATACGAGCACGTGGATTGAGCAAGAGTATGTCACTTCCCCGGGCGGTGTCAACGCCTTCGGCGTCCGCATGGTCTACCAGTCGACCGACATTGCTTCAGCGACAGCGACAGCTACGGTCTCCGCTACGAGCACTGGCAACGTGACTGCGCCTCAAGAAACCTCATCGCCGGGACTATCCACTGGAGCATCCATTGCCATTGCGGCTGTCGTCCCAGTGGTCGTTCTAGGCCTGATTGCTGGCGCCCTGTTCTGGTGGTGGAGGAAACGCCAGGCGTCCAAGTACGACCACGTAAACGGCAGCGGAACGCCTCAGGGCGCAAATGGGATGCCACCCGCAAACCCCATGCAGCAGCAACTCCACGAAGCACCGTCAGTGCAGCAGTACCAGGACCCAAACGCGTATCAACAGCACCAGCATCCGCCTATGCAGACGATGCCCTCCGCACAGTCCTTCCCTTCGACATACCCGTCATCAACAGCGGCACCATCTAATCAATCGCCCACCGTCCCTTACTCTCAGCAGTACGGCCACAATGGAACGTACACCAGCTACGCGGGATACAAGCCCCCGGAGGCGACGGAGGAAAACCCAGCACCGGGGCAGACGTTCACATCGGAGCTCCCGGCTCCCGTGCCGAGGGAACTCCCGGAAGACCGACCGAGCCACACGCCCTCGGGACAACATATTGACCACCAGAAGATGATGGGCATACCGAAGTGAAGGAGACAACAGCGGTGGCTGGTTTAAGCATTTGGCGGAGTACTCGGCATTTTTTCTGCGGGACGGCGCGGCGTTGGGGCGTCGTGTCTATCCATCTTGCCACGACCGATCCAGGCACATGTTTTCCACATTTACACAGCGTTGCGCGCAATGCTTATTACAGTAGCATCCGAGGCAAACACGCCGAATTGAACGACTAATAATCAGACATACTCTCTTCAAACCCCACATTGTGTGCAGTCCTCCGGTCGCTGCGTTCGAGACGGCTGGCAGGCGGCGAAAACCCGTTTGGATGATCTGCCGCGATGCCGCCTGTCCGTCTCACCATCAGCACCAAAATACTTGCGCCTTGCTGGGCTGGCAAGGGATGTGGCTGAGCCTTGGAAAGCTTAGCTTGTTCGACGCAAATGTATCGGCTACTTAGTGCTGACACCTCATCAAGCCACCCAGCTCGTAGCGAGGACTTGATTGGCCACAAACGAACATCTAGCCATTTCAACGCCAGATTGCACTGCTGGTGGTCAAAGGAGCCAGTCATTGTCATGTTCACAGACCAGCCGACGGAGCTATGGATTTTTGAAGCAGTCGAGCCTGGCACAGCCATCCCGTCATTACAGCCGCCACCTGCCTTCTCTACTTACTCTTCAACCCCAATGTTACTCGACTTGGTCCTCTCAACGCTTCAGTCTGAAGAAAAAGCAACAAAGCTGCAAGTATTCCTTCATTATCAGGTAGCGCCGGAACTCAATGTGGTCAATCAGACAATGAGACGTGAGGGCGAGCGAGGTATTCTCGGATCGCACAGGGAAGACGAGCCCAAAAGTCTCACACGCTCCTTTGCACTGCAGATGGATATCTGAGAAGTTTCCAGGAATCAGGAATGCCTACCAAGTGGTAGTAATTGGCACCTAAACCATCGGTCGTCACGGATGGACACACACCTGACGGCCTCGACCCCCTGGCGAAGGATTCGCGAATGGTGCGCTGCGGCGGCGATGGCCCTTGGTCCCATCCATTCTTAGCGTCGCGTTTCCTTAGTGTACGAATGTCCCTTTGGCGTCTGCCTACGAGCGGATCCTCTCAAGCATGGGATCGTCATTGGACTTTCGAGCCAGTATGAGTGGCTGGCCAGGACGGAGGGAGTGAGAGCATAGAGAGCAAGACTAGTTCGAGCGAAGGATTCGTCAAAACTAGTTTGACTCCTAATAGCCCTGTTCTCCTGTTCAATCCAAGTTTCTTCCTTTCTCCTTCTTTTTCCTTTTGTTTTCCGCTTCTGCGCGTGATACCCGACTAGACTTGCTCGCTGTCACTTTGCGAATTGCTTCGCTCTCATGTTATCAACGCGTTAGAATCCACAAAACAACCTCATCACATTCACACGGGGACCCATCAACGGCACAGGGATTCCCCATACAAAGCCCCCAAAGTCCTTTCGATCAGGCAAACCGCCCCCAATCCAACTCCTGGGCGCCATTGCGACAGAATCATCACACAATGGCGGCGGCAACATCAACCTCGAAAACGCGCTACGTCGCCTCGACCTTCCCCGAAAACCCCCTGCCGACGAAGAACTTTGACCCGCCGGCCTCATGCTCCGGCGTGTACTGGACAAACTCCGTCTTCGCGATCGACAATGACCCGGCCTGCTTGCCGAACAAGTTCAACGGCGCCAGCACCGCCTTTTACTCCCCTGGTACTGCTTGCCCGACGGGCTACACCGTGCAGCCGCAGTGCTCCCGGAACAATGGAGTGCGCAGCATCACTACCGTGACGTGCTGCCCGCACCGCGGCGACATCACAATGTCATGTGTGGAGAACGACCTGACTCTGGCAGAGAGGTGGGAGACGCAGTTCTGCACGTGGATGGCGGGCCCAGCGACGGTGGTAGAGTATACCCTCGTCTCGGACGGAAGCACGTCGAGCGCTGCGGCGACGATGAGTGATCGGGACGGAATCAACGCGTACGGCATCCGGATGGTGTACCAGGCAAGCGATCTAGTCACAAACACCGCATCGGCGACGGCCACGGGCACCGACAGTGGGGCTGGGACATCGAGTACCGGTGACGGCAGCAGCGACTCCTCTGCGAGTGACGGGCTTTCGACGGGGGGCATCGTCGCCGTGGCGGTTGTCGTTCCCGTCGTTGTCATCGCGATACTTGCAGGTCTGTTCCTATGCTGGAGGAGGCGGAAGCACAAGTATGCGGGCGTACAGCAGACGCAGCCCGGGCCAGACGGGCAGACGCCGCCTCAGCAGACCGCGTACGCGTACCAGAACAGCAACTACCAGGGCAGCAGCTACGCGCCGAGCGAGATGGCGGGAGGAAGCGTCGCGGGGTATTATCAGAACGACAAGGTGCTGCAGCCGGGACAAGCGGTCGCGGGGCAGCAGTTCAAGGGGTACCCGCACCAGACGCCGGCTGCGCCTGCTGAGTTGCCGGTGGGAGAGGCACCGGCGGAGTTGGATGCTAGCGGAGGTAATGGGAGGTAGTTGGCAGAAGGGTTCTTGATAAGGAGAGTAATTTCGAGGTGGATATATCACGGTTCTTTGTGAGATTGTCGAGGGACTTTTCAGCATTCAGATGGGCATGTAGGCGACTAGCGGGAGTTGAAGAGGGTGATTGGGGTTTTGTTTCACAACTTCTTCGCAAATGATATGTTCAGTAGAAACATTCAAGTGATATGATAAACTGTAATAAAAGAAACAAGACTCATCAAATCTACATTGAGACGCGACTTTCCAAGAGGGTTGAACTAGAAGCTTAAGTCAGCGCATCATCATCGCTGTAGCCGTGGGATAGCGAACGATGATCCAGGATAGGAACTCACCGGAGAAGCAGAGAATTTTGATAGCGAGGTTAGAAGTTCAAATAGTGATTGTGATCTGGAGGTACGCATCGGACAATCACACCGACCAAGCTCCGTGCCGCCGACGACTGGGGCAGCATCCCCCAGAACGATGCCCCCAGCGTCACCGGGCCCACACCGCCTGCGCTTCCTGGACAAATTTTACCCCGCCACCCCGCCATCCAAGCTGCAAAAAAATTCACCTCTGCGCTGCTGCCGACCCTGCTTATCAAGCACGCAGAACTTCCTCGACGCATTAATAAACCACATCCTCTGGTTTCTGCGCTTCCTTTTAATATCCAGATACCCAGCGCGGCCGACGAATCTTTCCTGAGAGTCGACAAGCGCAACCCTCTCTTCAGCGCAATCCCATCAAAAGAGACCAACCCGAAGAAAACCGACCGAAAGAAAAGCCCAAAATGTCCGGCCACAACGACGACCACGAGGAGCCCGAGATGCTCGGCGCTGACGAGGTCGGTGAGGAGGTGAACATCGACAACGACGACGTCGCCATGGACTCGGACGACGACAACGAGGAAATCACCCTCCATAACGACTCCGTCGCCTACTTCGACGCCCACAAGGACTCCGTCTTCACCGTCGCCCAGCACCCCATCCACCCGACCATCATCGCGACTGGCGGCTCCGAAGGCGACTCCGACGACGCCCCCGGCAAGGGCTACCTCCTCTCCACCGCCGCCGCCGCCTCGCGCCCCGTCCTCCCCGCCTCTTTCTCCGGCGAGACCCCGCAGCAGAGCACCAGCCTCGACGCAATCTACCCGATCGACGGCCACACGGACAGCATCAATGCGATGGCCTTCACCCTCCCCAAGGGCGACTTCCTCGTCAGCGGCGGCATGGACGGCAAGCTGCGCGTGCACGCCGTGCGCGTCAACTCGCCCACCGCCGAGGCCGCAAGCGTGCAGATCAAGTTCATTGCCGAGGCGCAGGAGGTCCCCGAGATCAACTGGATCGCGCCCTGCCCGTCGCCGCAGTACCCCAACACCATCGCCCTCGGCGCCAGCGACAACTCCGTCTGGGTCTACACCATCGACATCGCGGCCGGCGGCGGCGACCCCGCCAACTGCCTCCAGCTCGTACAGACCTACTGGCTGCACCAGGCGCCCTGCACCGCGGGCGCGTGGACCCCCGACGGCAGCCTGCTGTGCACCGTCGCCGAGGACTCGAGCCTGTACGTGTGGGACGTGTGGGGCGAGGCGGCGGCCAAGGGGCTGGTCGAGAGCAACGGGCAGACGACGGTAAGCATGACGGCGCAGGACCAGCGATTCGAGGTCGAGGGCGGGCTCTACAGCGTGGCGGTGGACCCCAAGGGCGCACTCGTGGCGGTGGGCGGCGCGGGCGGGGCGATCCGCATCGTCAGCCTGCCGCGGCTCGCGAGCAGCGCGCAAGCGGGCAAGGGCGGCAAGAGCAAGACGGCGGCGGACGTGGCGGCGGGCGGGCAGATCCTGGCGAGCCTGCAGACGGCGTCGGACGGCATCGAGACGCTGAGCTTTACGGTCGCGGCGGGCGGGCCGGGGCAGGCGTCGACGCTGCTTGCGGCGGGCTCGGTGGACGGCAGCATTGCGGTGTTCGATGCCGGCAGGAGGTTTGCTGTGAGGAGGAGCTTGCCTGGTGCGCACGAGGATTTCAGCGTCGTCAAGGTGGAGTTTGTCAAGAACTCGTGGCTGCTGACGAGTTGCGGCATGGATGGTGTTGTGAGGAGGTGGGATCTGAGGGCGGCGGACGCGGGGTTGGTGAAGGAGTGGAAGGGACACATGGGTGGTGGCGAGGGCGGTGGTGTGTTGGGATTTGTGCAGGGTGAGACCGGGGAGAGGGTCGTCACTGCTGGTGATGATGGTGTTGTTCTTGTTTTTGAGGCTTAGAGGGGGTGTGTGTTGAGTGGAGGATTGAATATGGTTTCTTTATGAGGGGATAGACAAAAATGGGGTGGTATGATACCGCGACAATGCGGAATGATTTGCTGGACCAGATAGGTTCTGATGAAATGAGATTCACGTTTAACTGACAAAAGAGGTTGTTTCTTGAAGGGCTTTGTGTGGAAATCAAGATGGTTTTGTGAGGAATGGTTGAGATTAGGCAGTGAGACACGGTCCTTTGAGTTCGTCTGATGGCGAGCGGGACTTAAAATGGACGGTTTGCGACTTTGGCAGGATCTCATCGTCAATCTTTACCACTTGCAAAAAGTTCGTCTACCCATACGTCACTCAACAGAAGAACGGGCATCGCATTGTCGGCCGCCCGCGAATGACTGCCAAATGGCCCAGTTCCAATGGGACCAGGTCCTCGGACTGACTTTGATGGTCTGCGGCATCATCCAGTTTCCACGAATCTGCTTCTGTCTGGCAATGTCTTGGTTGTCCTGGAAGACCGTCGTTGTGTGTAGGTTTCTCGAATCACTGCGCCCGGCAGCTCGTGATTGAGAATGAGATGTTAACGTTGGCGGTTTAGGGTATGCTGTGCTAGGCATATACCCATTCTTGGAGAACATTGCGGGACCATTAACGAGGGCGCTACTGTTGGACCAATGGAAGACTGGGTAGTGTTTGCTGGTCTGGGTGGCATAGTCACGGGCAAATCGTTCATAGCATTCAAATGAGGGCTTGCACCCTCGTCTCAGTTGTGCTCAACATACGCCATGACCTCACACTTCGCAGCTTTGACCATCCGTACAAGTGATTAGAGATTCATTTATTAGGCTTCATATCTCGTTAGACTACCTCGTGTAGTCACCACTTTGCCAACCGCTTCGTCAACGGCAGTCTTTTCTAGTGGTATGGTAACATCCTCTCTCCCTTCGTCCCTACTGACCAAGCCCATGCATGCATGCAGTCTTAGTTGGAGCGACCACCCTGGCCAACGTTGTCACCCTTGGCGAGACCCTGGCTTTGGCCTCCGCTGGCGTCCTTGCCGTCGATGGCAAGGCCCTTCTCGATCTCGGGCATGGGCGCGGTCTTGTCAGCGCGGTCGACGTGAGGGTCCTGTGACGAGCTGTTAGTATTGGGGTTCAAGGAAATAGTCGGGGGGGGGGGGGGGGGGGGGGGGTGCGCCGAACCTTGATGGCACCAGCGCCGTGGACAATGTCGTGGCCGGCCTCAACGGCGTTGTCAGAGGCACCGGATCCGTCGCGAGGCATGATGATTGATTTCGGTGATGTATATGAAGTTGTGGTAGCTGTAAGCTGGTTGTGGTATTGCTTCGGGAAGCTGTTCGTTTTTGTTGTTGATGAAGATGTGAAGGGTCGTTTTGGCTGAAGGATTGGAAGTCACAGATGGAAGGGGGCTGAGGAAGCTGTTTAAAAAGACCTTTGAGCTCACCTCGAGCTCCCAGAGCTCTGATATCGGATTGACGTCACGCAGGGAAGGTGCAAGTGCCTCCCGGGTACCTGCCGCCGTAGAGCTCACCCCCTTGTAAACGTCATTGATGGTGGGGCAAGCCCCGCCACGGTCTCCGCCCCGCGATGTCAGATCGCAGATCTTAGGTGGGATGGCCCGGAGGAAACGCCCCGTGTCGCGTGGTCAGACAGGTTGCTTGGCCATCCTCAATTGAGAAAGCAATGAAGTGGTTTGGTCACGAGATTGTCTACATGGGTCTAGAAACCCTCTGAAGCCTTATTTTCATTTTGTTGTTCCTGTTTTCCGACATAGAGGTTGTGGGCTGGCCCGCTTGGCATTCGTGCTGGAGGGGCCGCTCGGATGATGACGACAGTGGTTGGCGGCTTGCTTTGGGCATTTGCATACTTTGCAACTGATTGGTGCTGGAAAACATGGCGCTTGCTTACGGGAGCATTTCACGATGCTTTTCGGTCAGCTGCCTGTTGGTTTCATACAGCCCACAGGGACGCTGACAATGTCGTCCTCTGGCTACTGCTGTTCAAGCACATCTACGGATTAAAACAACCCAAAAACATCCACTCAAATTACGCAGAAACTTCCTGATCCAAAGATGTTTACAAATCAAACGTCTATTGTTAATTCCAACAAGAGTATCTGTTCAAATCCCTCAATTGAATGATCCCACACCTTTGATGCTGACCATCTCAGCCAGGCTACCGAAGCACCATAACCAAAACCGGGCGTAGAGATCAGCATGATCCCCTCTTCTTTACTCTAACGAAAAAGTCCCGCGGCTTTACGAACCAGTAATTGGTGCATTTCCAGTCATCCTCTTTCTCCAGTACCAAATCGAAGTTCTGCACGACTCTAGGAATGGCTTTCGACACCTCCAGCAAGCTGATGTTCTTGCCGATGCAGGTGCGCGAGCCCTGGCCAAACTTGAACTTTGTCAGCTTCTTAATCATATACGGTCCTCCACGAGTTCACTTACAGCGAAGAAGTATGATTCCATGGCACTCTTTTGCTCCTTGCTTGAGTCGATCCATCGCTCCGGCCTGAAGTCGTCCGCATCATGGCCAAAAACTTCCTTATTGTGATGCGCGATCCAGGCATTGATTCCAACAACATTCTGCGTAAATATCAGCATCATCTACTCAAGGAGGTGATATCAGTCACTTACCCCTGCAGGGAAGAAGCTTCCTACTAGCTGTCTGCCACCCTCAGGTACCACACGAGGCATGGTGAGTCCGGTAGCAGGGTGCAGTCTGAGGCTTTCCTTGATAACAGCCTGAAGATACGGCAAAGCCTGCGCTTCCCTGAAAGTGATCGGGTTTGAGATTGATCCCTCCGCCTCGGCGTCGTCCAGTTCTTTCCTCAGTTTTTCCAATGTTCTCGGGTTCCTGCAGAGGTAGTACATTATGGCGCTGAGTGAGATCGCTGTGGTATCTGAACCAGCAGCAATGTTGGTGCTGCCAGCACTCCCAATGGATTCATCGTCGATGGTCTCCGGCCGCTCTTTCTGAGTCTGAACAAGCTTGGAAATGAAATCCTGGGGCCCGTCCTTGGGCTTCTCCTCGATCCGGCTAGCTGCGACTTGGTCGACGGCAAACTTGACAATGTACGCGCTTCCCCGTGGTTCTCCGCCGGAGCCGAGGTACTTGAGGATGCTGAACAAGAAGGGGAAAATCCTCGGGTAGACACCGACGATGGTGCTGAACGTCAGGACCTCGTCCAGCGCCTTGATGACTCCCTGAGGGTCTCCCCCGTCCTCAAGACACCCAAAGCGCTTGGAGAACTACGCTCGATTAGTGCAACTCGTTTACAAAGGGGCATGTTAATCTTACTGTAATTTTGCCAATGACATCGAGAGCGTAGCACTGGAACCAATGCCCCAGATCAATCACGCGACCGTTTTCAGAAAATTCAGAAAACCGTTGGGCAAAGATTTCCGTGCACTCGTCAACGTAGGGCTCGTACGAGACCATGTGGGACATGGAGTAGACGTTGGCGACTTGTCGGCGAAGACCAGAGTGTACTTTCGGATTCAACTCGTTGAAAAGGTTGGTCAGGGCAGGATTGCCCCATGGAACATACCAGTCATTCTGGAGAGGCGGTTAACTCATTTTCGTCCGGTTGAAATTCGAATTCAAATGTGAGAAGCACTTACTTTGGCAAAATGGCTGCCGTGGCCGTAGATGATTTTGGCTGCGTCAAGACTGTCGATGCTGTATTGTCCAGGGGCTATCCGGACGACAGGACCTGAAATTCCGACGCAGTATTTAGCGATTACTTCTAGCAGAGTGGAAATAATCTAATGTCCACGTACCATATTTATCGTGCAACTTTCTGTCCGTCTTCTCGTAGTCGGCGCGGCAGTACTGGCGGAACAGCCATAGCCGAGTGAATCTCGCAAGAAACGGGCCTGGAACATGTCTTAAAGGATCTCTAACGGCAGAGACGATTCGATAAAGAAAGACTGCAAATACTGCGAAAGGGATAGCCCACCATAGTGGCGGCAGTGGTTTGCCCTCCAAGGCGTGGATTGGTAGAATCATGGTGAAAGTTTTGGTTTGCAAGTAAATGCAGGACTGCATGAACTACCAGCCCAAAAACAACGGCTGACAGAAGTCATTATATCTGCCATCCAAGCCTTGAAACTCTAGCGCCCGGGAAGATTGATTTGACAATCTGGGGAGAGATCGTGGGGCAGATCTCGGCGTCGGCACTTACACATTCCCCTAACCCCCCGCCACCATCCCGATGGGGTGCCGCGAGCGCGGCGCGCGGGTTCCCCACCCCCACAACATCTCCCGAAAGCCGCACCAGCATGATTCATTAACAAACAGGTTGAGAAACATCGTGGCCTTGATTGGTTTGATGGGGCCCTACTCTGTCTAATGACTGGATCGCATGCATGAAACAAGACACAGCGGCTCCCACCATGCAAAGCAACGGTCTGGTTGACCTCGGAGTCCGTCCCTCCTTGGCCGGCCGTCAATAACAATTGAGCATCGCGAAGCTAACCTCCACCACACCGGAATGAATGATGATGATCGCCCGGGATGACGGCAACTAAGTGGGTCGTCCGACTGACTAGTGGCTTTGACCAGTTCCAACGTCTGGCGTTGGAGACTGTTTGTCCCTTCTTCACCTCCACACGATCTCCCGACACCGTTGACAACATGAACGGCGACTCTCGTAGCCTGCGTTGCAGGTATTGCGACGAGGCGTTCAAGAGGAAGGAGCATCTCGACCGCCATCTCCGACGTCATCTGGGTTCAAAACCGTTCCAATGTACGGTCTGCCTGAAAGCTTTCTCTCGAAAGTATGTCGCGTCTAGATTTCGTCGGGGCACGGCTGACTAGGATCTCTCAGGGACGTCCTCAATCGACATATGACGACTCATGAACTGAATTCCGCGACCTGTTCATCACCAAGACGGCCTGGCAAGAAACCCCAAGCATGTCTCTCATGTTCAAGGGCAAAACAACGGTGCTCCAAAGGCAACCCTTGTCGCTCATGCGCAAGCAAGGGAAGAATCTGCCGTTACCCGTCCGATGGGGTACCTTCCGATGGGGTCACAACCCCGGACGGCCAGTCTGACGGCTCCGAGACACCGGCAGTTGACGCCGGGGATCAAGGCACTTTGCTTGACGCGTCTTCCTGTGCTGCAACGGCGCCAATGCCGACAGACGCCGAATACGGACGCCTCGTAACGCTGAATGAGACTGGGCCGAGCCTCAACGCCGACGTCATCCCGATGCCAAGCTATAGCATTCGTACGGCAGCGCATTCAGAACAGCCTATCAACATAGTGTCCGAGTTTGAGACTTTTTCTGCCTCCATTAATCCCACCGGGGCTGAGGGGACGCAAGCTTGGAACTCGGCTTTCGTCTCCTTCAACCAGCCTTTCCCCTGGTCGTTCACCGAAGATCTCTTTAACCACGAGCTTCCTGGATCTGTGCCACCGTCCGTTTTGAATAACAACGGTATATCTGCTCAAGCGGGAGCATCGGCCGCCTCCAGATACATTGATCCCGTCGACGGGCTTGGTCCTACCCCGGGCGGAAGGCCCTGTGCTTCTTGCGAGGACATCCCCTCCTTCCCATCACTGGAACTATACGACGAGGACATTCTACTCGCAGAGGACTTTCGCCATGTCAGCAAAATTAATGGCCACGAAAGGCTGGCTCAGTTCTTTCAGGAACAGAGCCCGTCAGGAGAGCAAGTGTTCCCGGAAGCAAGAGTGATCCACACCTTCGTCCAGCTCTACTATGAGCATTTTGATTTTCAATTTCCATTTCTCCATCCAGCGATGCTTGAAACTGGCGACGAGTCGTGGGTCTCTGTGCTTGCTGTTGCATCAATTGGCTCACAGTACTCCTCCATCTCAAACTCCGAGCAGTACTCCAAAGGGCTCCAAGAACTTCTTGGTAGAGCCGTGGCCGCCTACGTAAGTTGACAACCCACGCACATTCGCGTTCATGCTAACCACGCGTAGAAACCAGAGCCACACCGAACTCCGAGTCTACACATAGTTCAGGGCACGCTGATAAGCCTGGTTTGCTTGCAGTTCTCCGGATCCCAACGGGGTTCCATGAGAGCACAGTGGCAAAGGAGCCAGTTGATATCCTTGTGTCGTTTCGTAAGTTTCCAGCGTGGCGGAACCGGCGGACTGGAACCCGCCCCAGACCATGAACAAGATTGGAGAGGTTGGCTTGCCGCCGAGTCGCGAGTTCGACTGGTCCATTGTCTTTACAGTCAGTAGACAATCCTCAAGTCGGACCCAGACACTCGATTCTCATAGTACTTTACAGAACTCGAGTGCCTCCAGCTCAGTTTCTTAAGCTTGCCGCTGATTTCCAAGCTTCATGAACTCACCGACAGGTTCCCTGCACATGAACTTGTCTGGAAGTGCCGCGACGCCGAAAGATGGCGAGTCGAAAGCCGGTGCCCAGAAGGTAGTACTGTCCTACCCAGACTCATTAAATATTTTACTAAGAATCCGGCAGTACGTGCAGCAGGCCGCATCGGACTAGATCTCTCAAATAAGCATGACGTCGTCACAAAGATGGGATCCTTCGCCCGCCAAATGCACATGCTTAGCCTCTACACAGAAGAGAAGTTCCTACACTACCAGCTGTCATCCCCGTTGTGGAAGACCCTGATGGCGGGCATGTCGAATCCCGTCGATACCCAGCCAAACATCAACACGTTGCTCACAAACGCAGCAACATCCGTGAACGATGCGTTCGAAACGCTGAGAGGCATAGACAGCTCTAGAACGGAATCACCAGAGAGCGACGCATTGCTCACGTATTATCACGTCCTATCTATCCTGCGGCAGGTGCCACTTCGCAAGCTGTACGAGTTCTCTGGTTGGCAGGTTACAGAGCCTCAAATCGAAGCGGCGAGAGAATATCTCCAGAGATGGATGCGAAACAAGCCCTCAAATGCCCGGAAATGTCTCTGGCATGCGGCGGTGGTCTTCAAGATTCTTCGGAACAAGAAGCACTTTTCGTGCGACAGCCCTTTTTGCATGTTGGTAGTAGCTCTTTACATCTGGGCTTTTGACCAATTTGCGCAACTCAAAGACGGCATGTCGCCTGGTGATACGGCCATTTCCCTTGGGGCGGATTGGCCAACAAGAGTTGATCTGCTGCAGGATGAACAGGAGATTGACGCGTGGCTGGAAAATGGAAGCTCGAGTGTTCATATCACGGGTGTAGGGGTCCTGAAGAGCACTAACAGTGGTGCTCGGATGATCTCCGAGTGTCGAAGGATTCTTCTGTCTGCCAGTGGCTGGTCGCCGTTGTGTAGTTTCTTGGCTGGGGCTTGGGAACGGGTTTCTGGGGGTGGCCGACCGCACGACTGGAGTGAAAGATAAAAAGCTCATCTCGAATCTCGCTCAGTTGCGCCCAGGTTTAATGTAGGATTCAAGAAAATGCCACTCACCAACGACTTCGGGCTGATCAACGAGGTCTTACCTAAGCTTTAGTTAAACTCAAAGAGTTGCTGGCTAACCAACCGGTTCCTGTCAAAGGGTCTTGGATCCGTGCACGCCACGCCCTGGATTCGGACTTTTTCCCATCGTAGGATAGTCTTCAATCCTTCTTGGAGTTCATGCCTTTGAATACCGAATCGACGTCCTAAGCCCTACAGCCCATAGCAACGGTGGTTGGGTTGGTGATTGTGGAGAGTGCGTGGTTCTAGTGCTTGCTTGATGCTCTGTCCTTTGCGTCGCGAGAGTCAGAGAGCATGGACATCGATTAAATCCAAAGCTGATGGCTATCAAAATGGTGCGACGATGACAGTTGCCATAGAGTTGTTTTTGTACTTCCGCTTGATCTGCCGCCCGTGTTTGACGAGGTAGGAGGCGGCACATAAAGTCTGACGGCTCTCTTTCGTTGAACTGCGGTCTCTCAAATCGTCTCAGGCAACACGTTTCGTGTCAACTCCACCTAGCGTTAATATCCATACTACGTGTATCATCATGGGTAAAGATTGCAAAAAGTCACCTGCCAAGACGACGATGAAATGTTTCGTCGGTGCATGGGGCTTCATCAACTCGACGCTGGTGTAGGTCTCTTCCCTTCATTCCAATATTCCTAGTGTCGCTAATAAAAGTACTGCAGCAACACCACGTCTGGCGATATAATCACCCAGGACTGGGCCTACCCTGTCCCCTCCGGCATGTCTCTGTTCACGCCTAACGGCTACACTGCGTTGCTGGTTACCGCAAATGACACAACTAGACCCGACCTCCGACCTCAGGGGCTGGACCAGAGCAACCCGAGCTCCTCGCCTGATTCACAGTGGGCCAAAATTGGCAAGTACAGCGTCGCCGGCGCCGAGCCGTTCCGTCTGTCCAACGTGACGGACGAGAAGGGGTCAGAGGGTCCCGAGGGTGTGCAAACCGGAGAGTTCTTGACGTCTACGATCCCGGCTCGCCTTGGCCCTTACGAGTTTACCATCAAATTTTACAATGACTGCTCTGCTTGGAACCTTCATCAAGATGTTGGGGCTGGCCTTCAAAGGGTTGCATGGTACTACAGGCTGCCTGATCAGGATGAGGACTAAGTTCTGGACATTGAAAATCCGGGCTTGAATGAGTCCCATCGTTACATGACTTCTCCTACACGCCTGGAAGATAATCATAAGAAGCGTGATCAACTTCATCTCAAAGTTCTGCCCTCTTTTTCGGTGAGACAAAGACAAGAAAGGCGACAGAGATGGCAGGGACAACAAGAGTGATGGCGACGACGGCGACATTAGAGCCAGGCTACACTAGAGATATCAGGGACAGTGATGATCATCAGAAGAGCACATGTAGTCAATGCCGTAGACAGAAATCACATAGAGCACCACCATTCCAATCAGAAGTGCCGGAGCAGATAACATGAATTACCTCAAAATCTATATCCACCACACAATCTCTCAGAACAGTAACAACATCCCCCCTCCCCCTTCTTGCATTACAAGACTTTAGAACTCATTGAATACAGACAGACAAATCTTTTTCCTCCTGGAGAACCTAATCTCACCATGCTATCAGTTGAGACCTTGATCCTCTACTATACCTCCAGCCTTCTCTGGTTCCAGGTGAAGAGCCGCATCAGTTAGGATATCCCTTGTCTCCCTTCTTGCCGCTGCCCTTGGCCACCTTCGAAGGCTTTACCCAGCCGACAACCTCATCCGAGATGGAAGTCAGTTTGTCGAAGACGTCCTCGAAATCCTTAGGTACCAAGTCAGTGTCGCAAGGATGCAACCAGTGCGTGAAGGCGTTGACCGCGTCAACCGTTGAGTAGGTCCATTTGAACAACTTTGCGGCGTTGACGAGAGCCTCTGTAGAAATCACAAGATAGTCAGTAACAGTCTCCTCATCTCAGTGTACCTGGGAGTGTTAGGGGTTGAACTCACTCATTCCAGCTGACATGGCCTTGCCTTCGGGAATGAACTCCAGGCCCTCCTCAAGAACTAGCTTGAAAGAGTGGATGTAAACATAACATGTGATCTGAAAAGGAATACCAATCAACAAGAATTCTGTTGCGAGACTTCACCGGTCAATAAAGTTTTGTCCTCTTACCTGGGCCATCGCCGGCAGCATCTCGACGAATGTGTTTCCCAACCAGTTGATGGCGGGGTTATCACAGACACACACTCCAGGTGCCACATAACCTGAAAGACCCTTGCCAACGCTCTCCCAGGGTATTTTCTTGTTCGCCGGATAAAAACCAACACAGGTAGCAGAAGTGGTGACGCCGAGTTCATGGTTGGCCTCGTTGGACTCTTTGCAAACCTCGTTGCAGTCATTCTGCGTCGCTTCCCACTTAGGGGGCTTGTAGAAAATGCACTTCTGAGCGTTGGCAAAGTGGTTTTCCCAGTTGTAGTTCATATCCCATGCCTGTTCGGTCGCGGTAGGCGTGGCAACGGATGACTTCGTCGGGGTCGAGCCGGATCCCCCAGCAGACGTAGTCGGCTTCGTCGAGGTTCCCTTGTCCTTGCAACTGCCGCTCTGGCAACCCGTACCGCAGTGAGCATCGGTATTGCCGCACCAACCCTGGGGGGAGCAACAGTCACCCTGAGGCCATGAACCGCATATGGCATCGTTTGCACCAATGCCGCAGCTGCCATCCGTAGTCACGGCACCCTTGACACAATCACCACTCTGGCAACCGGAGCCGCAGTGCGCGTCGTCGGTGCCACACCAGCCGCTGGAAGAGCAGCACTTGCCAAAGGTACTGCCCGTGCAAGTAGTGCCGCCGTTGGAGGGGCCACATTGACCGTCGGTTGATACCGGTGCCGAGTTCGAGTCGCCAGTGCCAGAGTTGAAGTCGACACTCCACGCCATGGTGCCTCCGAAGCAGTAGTTGTTGGCGAATTTCTTTTTCAGTGCGACAGTCTCCTCGTCATCGTAGCCGATCCACTGGTCATCCCAAGTAAGCTCCTTCATCATGGCGCCTTCGAGCAAGCGGGGCTTGAGGCCCTTCTCCTTGATCAAATCCTGAATCTCAGTGAGAGACATGACGCCGGCCTGGTTAGTGCACTTTCCTGGCTTGCTGGGACCCTTGAAGCCGCATCCAAGAGTGGTGCAAGTAGTATCTGCATACGGTTAGTCGTCACTCACGTCGGATGATGGAACGGCTTACCCGAAACTGTGTAGCCACGGCCGTACCAGGCAACGCCAAAGACAATCTTGGAAAAGTCCAAATCAGCGTAGGCAAGGGGAATGGTGTTGTTGTAAATCTCCCGAACGTCAGCCTGACCGCGGATGATAGCACCCAGAGTCTTGACGTCGGAATCCCAAGAGCCGTGAAGATCATAAGACATGAAACCAAAGTGGTCGACATACGGCTCGAGGCCCTTGGCGTCAAAATACTGGCCATACCAAATATCTGGAGGAAGCGTGAGGCTGATGCCATACTGAGATCCGTAAGAGGCGCGCATCTCCTTGAGCAACAGCACGAAGTTGGCGATATCGGCGCGAGAGCCACCGCGCTTAGGGTCTCCAGGGTATTCCCAATCGAGGTCCATACCTTGGAAGCCATACTAGAAGCCTCGTTAGCGCAGTTCTCCTTGGGGAACATTCGTGAAGACTTACTTTATCCATAAAAGTTTTGCCGGATGCGATGAATGCAGCGCGCGCAGCCGGGCTCGCACAGAGGTCATGCCAGGTCGTGTGCGTGCTGCGTTCCTTGTCGCTGAAGTCGTAGCCACCAACAGCGATCCAAGTCTGTAGACCCGACTTCTTCAACGCCGTGAATTCACGCATGAGTGGCTCGTCCGCGGCCTGTGCAGGAATGACGGCGAACGAAGCAGGATCGATTGACGCAAAGGCGAAGTAAAGATGAGAATAGCCGGATGTCTTGATCTGAGACGGTGCAATGCGATTGCAGACACGGTCTCGGACGTTTGAGGCCTGGTAGTAGCCGATGGTTCTTCCTCCGGTGGTCCCGGAACCCTCGCCGCAAGTCTTGGGCCGGATGATGCTGCACTTTCCGAAGCCTTCCTGGCAAGGGGAGAACTTGTTTGGACCGATGCAATGGGTTTCCGAGGTACCACACCAACCTCCTGCGAGAGAAACTAGTTAGATACCATCCAATCTGAGAGTAACGAGAGGACTTTGTGAGATATACGAACCAGAACTGCAGCACAGATCCATTCCACACTTGATTGCGCCACCCGCAGACTCTTTGCCACACATAGCGGTAGCATCACAGTTACTCTTACAACCTGCGCCGCACAAGTCGCCGTAACCGCAAATTCCGTCTTTGCTGCAGCAGCTGTTGAGTGGTAGAGTTAGTTTGGGACCCCGAGGAATCAACTGAATAGATTGACGTGAACTACTAACCTGCCATCAGCGCACTCGCCCGTAAGGCAGAGCAAAGCACCTTCACCGGCGGCTTGTGCTTGTCTTCTCAAGATAGCAACATGATTCTGCCATTCGGAGACCGGTTGAGGCGATCTCCGGCGCTCCGGCATGTACTCAGTAACATTGTCTCTGAGGTCCATGTAGTCGGCCAAAGGGTCTCGGCCAGCATCCGCGTATGGGTTCTGATGGGTGAGAGAAGGAGGGCGTTCACAGATTCCGCCATGGAGAAAAGTGGCGGCCGTCAGAGCGGCCACAAGCAGCTGTATGCCGACCATAATGCCAAATAAGGTTGGCAATAAAGAGCGTGGTGGATGAGTTGGTGAACAATATGCTGTTGATTAGCAGGAAGTGTTCTCGACTTATATAGCACCGCATTTGTGGGCCCTCTTTCCGAGTGCTATTCCATGAATCTTCTGTGGAACTTTACTTGTAATTCTGGACCTGCGTCCCAGACTTCAGCTGCACCTCGGCCGAGGGACTTTTGCCTGAAACCTCGTATTAGAAAGGACATGCTA